AGCGGGAGGCCGGTCCGGTGGCCCATGGGCCACTGCCCGTGCCGCTGGTGCTGGACAACGGGTCGTTCCAGGCCCGCGCCGGCTGGGCGTGTCCAGGGCCGGACCCAGGCCCCGAGCCGCGTCTGCAGTTCCGCGCGGTGTGCGCCCGCGGGCGTGGAGGGGCGCGGGGCGGGGCGGGCCCGCAGGTAGGCAACGCGCTGGGCAGCCTGGAGCCGCTGCGCTGGATGCTGCGCTCGCCCTTCGACCGCAACGTGCCGGTCAACCTGGAGCTGCAGGAGCTGCTGTTTGACTACAGCTTCCAGCACCTGGGCGTCTCCTCACAGGTGAAGGGGGGGTGGGTGGACCGGGGTTCAGGGGAGGGATGAGGTCTCTGCTCTCCGAAAGATAATTGTCACTTGAGTCGCTCTGGTGGTTATTTAGTCAGTCGATCAAGTATTAAGCCCTGGTATGTGTATGTCCTGTGCTAGGCGCTGGGGCATAGCAAGTGAACAAAACAATACTACTCTTCTCTTGGAGCATACATTCAGGCATATATGCTCGTTTGTTAAATTCACTTAACATATATGTATTGCGCATCTACTCTGTGTCAGGCACTTTTTTAGGCATTCGGAATATCTGTGAACATAACACAAAACTTCCTGTGTTTATGGAGCTATTATGGAAAGATATTTTGGTATGAACAGACAGACAATGAGATGATAGGACAGGAGGGAAGTTACATTTTTTCAATAATATGGTCAAGGCAGGACTCATGGAGAAGATGATATTTGAGAAGGACTCAAAGGAGGTGATTGAGAGAACAAGCCATATAAATATCTGAGGAGAAGTGTTCTAGTCAGAGGGAAAATAGCCGGTGAAAAGGCCCTAATCCTAGTTCTAGAGCAGCCAGAGCGAGGTGGAGAGTAGTATGAGGTACTATCTGGAAGAGGATGTCAGAGAGGTAATGAGAGGGCAAATCATACACCTCATAGGCTTTTACTCTGAAATGGGGAACCATTGCAGGGCGTTGAACAGAGGAGGGATGCGATTTATGTTTCAAGAAGATCACTATGGCTTCTGTATGGAAAATGGACTGTCAAAGGTCATAGAGAGGAAGCACAGAGACCAATTAGGAGGCTGTTGCAATAACCAGCTGAGGGATGTTGGTGCGTTAGATGAGAGAGGCAGCAGGAGATGTGGTAAGAAGCAGCTGGGTTCTGGAGATATTTTGAAGATGATTTGCTGACAGTTTGGATAGGACTTAACTTACTAACCTTAAATTGACTCTACTTTCATATTTTCCAGTAGAGATGAAATTAGTGTTTTACAGTTGCTTCTGAGCAGGTTTTTGACGAAAGACCAAAAGCAAATTCAGCCCTGCAGTAAGGATTTGGGTTATTTCATTCTTTAAAAAGAGTATCTGTTACCAGTCATCTATTTGCCCTTTTCTTTCAAAGTAGGGCTGTGTTGATCATCCCATAGTTTTGACAGAAGCTGTGTGTAACCCATTGTATTCACGACAAATGATGTCTGAGCTTCTTTTTGAGTGCTACGGGATTCCAAAGGTTGCCTATGGAATAGACAGCCTCTTCAGCTTCTACCACAGTAAGCCAAAGAACTCGACTTCCAGTGGGCTCATCATTTCATCTGGATACCAGTGTACACATATTTTACCCATCTTAGAAGGGAGGTGAGTTGCACTTGTGGCATTTGAGTGCTATTTTGAGAGACATTCAGGATACATTTATTTAGTGCCTACTTTAGAGACAGAGTAGAAAGAGCAAGTGCTAGACTGTGAACTGAGCTTCTAGGCTTAGCTTTGACCTACCTCATTGTGTGACTATGGGTAAGTCAGGTGTCCCAAAGGGAGTTGGGGTGGATGGTATCTTAGGTCCACATCCGTAATTCTACAGTTTTATAATTCTGATTTATGGAGAGATAGCTACACAGTACCTGGAAGTAGTAGGCACTAAATAAAAATATTTTGAATAAATTACTTGAGTCAATTTAATTTAGACCATTTTTGTGTTCTGGAGTCACTTTTTTACTAAGAAGTTTTTTTCGTTTTTTGTTTTGTAATTTAAAGCTCTTTAATCGCTATTGTTTAGAGCTTTCTGTTCAGGTACAGTGCTGGGCACATAATAGGCACTTATTAAATATTTCCGAGTTGAATAAAAGGCAAGGGTAGTTTGTAGTAATTTAAAGCTCTTTAATCGCTATTGTTTAGAGCTTTCTGTTCAGGTACAGTGCCGGGCACATAATAGGCACTTATTAAATATTTCCGAGTTGAATAAAAGGCAAGGGTAGTTTGTATCATATTTAAAATCTGTTCACACTTTATAGTTTGGCTTTCATTGTCTGATAAGAGACTAGGCTAGTATCATGATCTCTTGAGAAATCTCACATTGCATAAAGAGGTGTGCACTGAAGGCAAAGAACTATGGCTTTGGAGTTGAATGCCTGGATTTGAAGCCCTGCTAAGGATGAGGTACTCATTCACTTAGTTTCCTATCATAAAATTGGGAAAATTCCCGGGGTTACCCTGAGGATGAAATGAGATGGCACATTGTAAACTGTAAAGCAGTCTGAATATTTAAGTCAAAATAAATGCCATTGAATTTATTGAGACCTATAATGGGAATTTTTCTTGAAGTTTCCATGATAATCTTTGAAGATAAAAGTATTTCTTAGACATTACCAAACACTCCTGAGGTACTGAGTTCTCTATTTTATCTAAACAAAATAGGAGAAATTAAAAACATGTTTTTATCTTATATTGAAAGAAAATTATTACCCGAAGACCAAGACATCAGATGGGAGCATATCCTGTTCTATGCTGGCATCTACTGGTGAGATGTCATACAGCAGTGACGTTTCATTTACCATACAAGTTCCTAGTGCTCTGCAACTCTTATTTCCTCACGTAAAGAAAATAACGTTACTTTGGTTCTCTTCCCCTTTGGTTCATGTGAAAGGGATCAGATTTTTAGAAGATTACAGTAAGCCAGTATGTGTATGGTTAATTAATCTGTTTGTATAAGTAGAAGTGGAGCATCTAGGGGAAGAGTTCTCAAACTCTGGTTTGCACCAGTCACTTGAGGAGCTTGTTAAAATGCAGATTCCCAGACCCACCCCAGAGCAATTGAGTCCTGGAAATTGGCATGTTTAACATTTTCCCCAGCTAATTCTGGGATACTTGGTCCCAGGGCCACAGTTTGAAAAATACATGAATCACATAGAGGTCTGACTTTGGAATGCAAGTTCTTTCCATTGTTTCTTTCTGAGATTCTGGCCAGAAGTTAGATGGCTGTGTGTCTGTCTGGGTGTGGACTAGGAATTCTTGTCTTGGGTAAGAGGTTGGGCCAAGGGAACTTTAAAGTTCCTTCCAAGTGTAAGGTTTTATGTTTGCCCTTCTTGTCTATTTATTCTTTATCCTATTTCCCCCAAGATGCTCCACATTTTCTTCTCCATGTTGCCTAAAATTTCAGCATTGCTTTCTACTGCTTGGTTGTAGGTTAGATGCTAAAAACTGCAAGCGTATCAATCTTGGAGGAAGCCAAGCAGCTGGCTACCTCCAGCGTCTCCTCCAGCTGAAGTATCCTGGACACCTGGCAGCCATCACCCTCAGCCGCATGGAGGAGATCCTGCATGAGCTGCGAGTGGCTAAAGATGTTGAACATCTTTTCAAGTGCATATTTACCTTCCGTATGTCCCCTTTCTTGACGTGTCTGTTCAAGTCTTTTGCCTACTTTGTAAGTGAATTGTTGGTTTTCTTAATGTTTTGTTTTGATAGTTTTTTTTTTTTTAATTGGTATATATTCTAGATGCAAGTCATTTGTTGGCTATATGATTTTCAGGTATTTTCTTCCATCTGTAGACTATTTTTTATTTTCTTAACAGTGTCTTGCATTTAAAAAGATTTTATTTTTGATGAAGTCCAATTTATTATTTTTCTTGTATAGATCATGGTTTTGACATCATGTCTCAGAACCCCAAGTATGAAGATTTTCTTCTGTGTTTTCTTCTATAGGTTTTATATTTCTGTGTTTAAGTTGAGTTCTCTGGTTCATTTTTTTTTTTTGTCTTTTTTCATGTCCGGCAACGGATCGCAACCCTCAGTGTCGCGCCCGTACCAGACCGGGACCGGCAACGGGATCGCAACCCTCGGTGTTGCCCCTGCTCCTCGCTCAGCCAGTGAGCGGCCGGTCTGTATGTGGGATCCGAACCCTTGGTGGGAGCTCCACCATGCTCCCAAGCGGCGCACTGTAGCAGTGCGCCACTGGGCCGGCCCCTCTGGTTCATTTTGAGTTCACTTTTTATAAGGTGTAAGGGTTCAGTCACAGTTTTTTATTTTTTTTTGATATATGGGTGTCCAATTATTTTAAATCATTTGTTGGTAAGACTGTTGTTTTGGGCGTCCCCATAACCACTTACAGGTTTGGTGATTTTCTTAGAAAGACATGCAGGACTCAGAAGTCATTATACTCGTGGTTATGGTTTTCATTACATTGCAAGGATACAAAGTAAATATGCCAAAGGATACAGCATGAAGTTTGGGGGCTGCCAGCCGAAGCCTTCCAGTGTAGCCGCACACACTTAACAAGTTGTGAGGGCATGCATGAAGTGTTTTCTACTAAGGAAGCTCATAGAGACCCAGTGCCCAAAGTTGGAGATGAGTCACACAGGCACACTCCACCCAGTGTGTACCAAAATTCCAGGCTTCTAGGAAGAAAACAGGTGTTTAGCATAGACCATATTGTTTGCACAGTCTAGAAGAAATGAACCACCTTATCATTAGGAAAAGTTTTATATGAGTGTAGAGAACCGTTTTCCTGCCATGTTCCCAGATGCCAGCCAAGGACCAACCTTTCGAGCAGGCCTTTTCAAGTATAGCAGTCCCAGGCCATTTTTCTGTATAACTATCTTTTCTCCATTCAATTGACTTTACATCTTTGACAAAAATCAATTGGCCAGGGCCAGCCCATGGCTTACTTGGGACAGAGTGGTGCTGATAACACCAAGGCCACGGGTTCGGATCCCTATATAGGGATGGCCTATTCGCTCACTTGGGAGAGCGTGGTGCTGACAACACCAAGTCGAGGGTTAAGATCCCCTTACTGGTCATCTTAAAAAAAAAAAAAGTCAGTTGGCCATATTTGTGCCCATCTGTCTCTGGATTCTATTCTGTTCCATTGATCTGTGTGTCTGTTCCTTATCCAGTAAAACACTGTCTTGATTACTGTCACTTTATAATTAACTCTTAAAACCAAGTAGCATGATTTCTACAACTTTATTCTTTTTTGAAAATTGTTTTGGCTATTCTATTTCCTTTGCCTTTCCATGTAAGTATTAGGATCAGCTTTTCCATATATACAAAAAAAACTCTGTTGGGATTTTGATTGAAATTACACTAAATCTGTAGATCAATGTGGGGAGAATTGACATTTTTACTATGTTGAGTCTTCTAGTTCATGAACATGGTATGTCTTTCCATTTATCTAGGTCTTTATTGATTTCTTTTGTCAGTATTTTGTAGTTTTTCAGCACAGATTCTGTGCATGTTTGATTAGTTTTATGCCTAAGTGTTTCTTTTGTTTTTTTTATTTCAGTTTCTAGTTGCTCACTGTCAGTGTATAGATATGCAATTCAGTTTTATGTGTTGATTTTGTTTCCTGTGACCTTGCTAAACTTATTAGTTCTAGGTTTTTGTAGATTCTTTAGGGATTTCTGAGTAGATGTGTCATCTGGGAATAAAGATAGTTTTATTTTTTTCCTTCCAATCTGTATGCCTTTAATTTCTTTTTCTTGCCTTCTTTCATTGGATAGGACTTCCAGTACAGTGTTCAATAGGAGTGGTGAGAGTAAGCATCCTAGCCTTGTTTCTAATTCCTGATGTTGGGGTGGTGGTGTGGGGAAGCCTTTAGTCTTTAAGTATTAAGTATGAGGTGTTAGCTCTAGGATCTTGCAGATGCCGTTTATCAAGTTGAGGAAGTTCCTTTCTATTCCTAATTTTGCTGATAATTTTTATCATGAATGGATTTTGAATTTTGTGAAATGTTTTTTTCTGCATCAGTTGAGATGATCCTATGGTGTTTCTACTTTAGACTGTTTAGATGGGGGATTATAATTGCTTTTCTAATATGGAGCCAGCCTTGATTTGGGGGTATAAACCCAACTTATTCATATATATTACTCTTTTTATATATTGCTGGGTTCGATTTGGTAATACTTTGTAGGTTTTTTGTTTATATTCATGAGGAATATTGGTGTGTAGTTTTCTTATACTGTCTTTGTGTGGTTTTGGTGCCAAGGTGAGACTGGCATTGTTTTTTTTTTTAAATGACCGGTAAGGGTATTTTAACCCTTGACTTGGTGTTGTCAGCACCATGCTCTCCCAAGTGAGCCATGGGCTGGCCCCTGGCATTGTTAATGAGTTGAAAAATGTTCCCTCTTCTCTTTTCTGGAAAAGATTGTATAAATAATTGGTGTTAGGGCCGGCCCGGTGGCGCACTGGAGAGTGCGCCGCTTGGGAGTGCGGCAGCGCTCCCGCCAAGGGTTCGGATCCCATGTGGAGACCGGTTCCCGCTCACTGGCTGAGCGTGGTGCGGGCGCAACACCGAGGGTTGCGATCCCGTTGCCGGTCCCCGGTACGGGCGGGACACTGAAGGTTGCGATCCCGTTACCGGTCAGTAAAAAAGACAAAAAGGAAAGAAAAATAAATAAATAAATAAATAAAATAAATAATTGGTGTTATTTTTCTTTCTTTCTGGTAGAATTCTCCAGTGAAACCATTCAAGCCTTAAATAAAATAATTGGTGTTATTTTTCTTTCTTTCTGGTAGAATTCTCCAGTGAAACCATTCAAGCCTTCTTTTTCTGAAGGCTTTTAACTATGAATACAATTTCTTTAATAGACATAGGATTATTAGGTAGCCTTATTGATTTCCTCTCTTTATTATTTCCCTCCTTCTACTTGTTTTAGGTTTATTTTGCTCTTTTTTCTCCCCCCCAGTTTCTTAAGGTAGAAGTTTAGATTATCATGAGATCACTCTTATTTAATTAATTTATTCTTTTGGTAGGGCATTCTTTTTAATATAAGCATTTAATGCTGTGAATTTCCCTCTCATCACTGCTTTATCTGCATCCCACAATTTTCTTTTCTTGGGCAGCTGGCCAGTAAGGGGTGCATCCCACACGTTTTGATATATTTTAATTTTTATTGAGTTCAAGTATTTTCTAATTTTCCTCATGACTTCTTTGAGCAATTCATTATTTAAAAATGTGTTATGTCCAAGTGTTTGGAAATTTCCCTGTTACTTTTCTGTGATTTATTTCTAGTTTAAATCCATTATGCTCAAAGAACTTTCTTTGTCTGATACCAGTTAAACTTGTTTGTTTTATAACCCAGGATATGGTCCACTTTGGCAAAAGTTCCACATACACTTGAAAAGGATATGTATTCTGCTCATTTTAGGTGGAGTGTTCTATGATGTGACTTAGATTCTGTTGGTTGATGGTGGTGTTCAGTTCTCGTGTATCCCTGTTCATTTTCTATCTACTAACTCTATTGATTATTGAGAAAGGAGTGTTGAAATCTGTAGATATAATTGTGGATTTTCTTAGTTATTTTTTCTGTTCTGTCAGTTTTCGCTTTCAGGTATCTGAATCTCTTTTGTTAGGTACATATTTAGGATTCTTAGGTCCTCTGGGCAGATTAACCTAACATGTCAATTTTCTTTGCTTTCATGTCTACTTGAATATTAATACACCCTCTCCAACTTTTGTTTGATTAGTGTTTGTGTGGTACATCTTTTCATCCTTTTGCTTTTAATCTACCTGTATCATTATATTCAAAGTGAGTTTCTTAATAGTTGGGTCATTTTTTAAAAATCCATTCTGTTAATATCCATCTTTTAATTGGCATATTAAGACCTTTTACAATTAATTTAGTTATATGTTTGGATTTAGGCCCACCGTTTTATTATTTGTTTTTTGTTGTTCCTCCTATTATTCCTGTGTTTATTTTTCCTCCGTTTCCTTCTGCCTTCTTTTAGGTTGTTTGAACATTTTTCCCCCCTGTATTCCATTTAATTTTCTGTTGTGTTTTTTACTGTGTGTAGTTTTTTTTTAGTAGTTGTTGTGGAGATTAAAGTAAACATAACTTTTCATAGTCTACTTAGAATCAATATTTACCGCATCAAGTGGAATGTAGAAATATTTGCACTATATAGACTCCTTTATCCTTCCCCATTTATGTTGTATAGTTGTCTTGTGTATTACATACATTGGAAACCCATCAGACAGTGTTATGGTTTTTACTTTCAGTTGTCAAACATATTTTAAAGAACTCATGAGATTAGTCTGTTATGTTTAACCAGATTTTTATCATTTCTATTGCTCTTCCTTTATTCCTGGTGTTCCAAGCTTCCTTCTGTTATTATTTACATCTGAGGAACTTTATGTAGCAATGCCTTTAGAACAGGTCTGCTGGCATGATATCCAGGTTTTATAGCTGCATTTAGTTGATTGACTGGATTCAGAGATTGAGTGGCATGTGTTTTCTTCATCTTCCCTGCATCTGAAACCCTAGTGTTGACTTTTTAATTTTTGTGTTAATAGTGTTCCATTTCATGACTTCCAAAATTATTTCTTTGAAGAATTGCAGAAGTGGCAGTGCCCTGATTATTATGAGAACAACGTCCACAAGATGCAGCTTCCGTTTTCCAGCAAGCTCCTTGGCAGCACTCTGACCTCTGAGGAGAAACAGGAAAGGCGGCAGCAGCAATTGCGGCGGCTGCAGGAGCTCAACGCCCGGCGGCGGGAGGAGAAGCTGCAGCTGGATCAGGAGCGGCTGGACAGATTGCTCTATGTGCAGGTAAGAGCAGAGACCAGGATGAGTCCCCAGCCTTGCTCAACAAGGTAGTCCCAGAACGTTTTCTTCCTATGTATTGTTCCTCAGCCATAAAATGCGTTGACTGTCAAAGTCACCTTTGGGGTCAAGAAGGAGTCCAGGAGAATCATTAATACAGAGATCATCAGTATAGAGTACAGTAAAGCAGCAGGTGTTTCTGAAAGAGCTGTAGACTCTGGATTTATTGATTTGTTCATTTGTGCCCTATAGTTTCCTTTTACTTTTTAACTTTTTTTTCTTTTTTTCTCTGTAAGCTTACGATATCCTTGAAATTTTTTTTAACTTTTTAACATAAATATAGTACAAATGATGCAAAAGTGCACAAACGTTAAATCTGCATCTTGATGAATTTTCATGAAGTGAAACAGACCCATGTATCTTTCATTAGATCAAGAAACAGAGCCTTACCAGCATCCCAGAAGCCTCCCTCACGTCTCTTCTCAGTCAATAACTTTCCCTATTAAATCTGCATCTTGATGAATTTTCATGAAGTGAAACAGACCCATGTATCTTTCATTAGATCAAGAATCAGAGCCTTACCAGCATCCCAGAAGCCTCCCTCACGTCTCTTCTCAGTCAATAACTTTCCCTCCTCCCTTCCAAAAGGTAACATTTCCGACATCTGTCAACATACATTAGTGTTGCCTGATCAGGTGATGCCAAAACCATGATGTGATGCCAGCCTGGGACAGCTGGAGAGGAGGGCCACTGTGTGAGACTTGGGTGGGAGCTGGAGGTGTGATTCTGTGGAGGGGCAGGCCCCCAGGGCTCTGGGAGCCCTCTCCTGCTGCAGCTCTTCTCTTTCCTTCCTGTTTACAATGGCACTGTGTGTCTTTGAGGATGAATTATGACCGCTCTGGTTTCAGGAACTTCTAGAGGATGGCCAGATGGATCAGTTTCACAAAGCTCTGATAGAGCTGAACATGGACTCCCCAGAAGAGCTGCAGTCCTACATACAAAAGCTCAGTTTGGCGGTGGAGCAAGCTAAGCAGAAGATCCTTCAAGCAGAAGTCAGCCTCGAAGTGGATGTGGTAGACAGCAAGCCGGAGGTAAATGAGGGCCTTAGGAGGGAGGTCCTGTAGGGTCATTTAGAGAGGGCCGCCCTTCTTGAGGGTGAGGAGTGTCCTGAAGACGCTGACGTCAAAAGGGTTGTAGCCAGACTCGGGAAGAAAAGAGTAGTATGATGAGTGATGTCCACAGGGATGTGGTGAGGGCAGCGATGGCTCTTGTACCAACCAAAGTTCTGACTGGAGGGATTTCACCCTGTAGACCTCTGGCCCCCTGGGAGGGAAGGTGTGCTTGTAGTAGGAAGAACAGTCACACACCAATCATGTGGTGCTGTCTCTAACCTGCACTTGTTCCTCTGATGGTCATTTGACAGCTAGTCATACACTCCCTTTAACTTTCTTCTGGCATTTTAGTAAATATATTGTGGTTGAGGGTTCACTTACCTCCTTTCTATCTTGATATTCCCTAAGGATAGGGATCGTACTTCATACATGGTTTATGAACTTTTTTACAGCAACTAATAGATATACTCAATAAAATATTCGTAGGTTAAGATCAGACGTTCGTTAGTTACTAAAGACTAACTCTTTAAATAAGCTCTTTGATTTTCTATGTTTCTCCTTTCCATTTTCCTGCCTGTAGACTATAATAAGTGTTGGTGTGGTCAAAAGGGCAGGAGGCAGAGCTGATCTCAGACTGTGGGTAATACAGACCCTGGCATCTTGGGGCCTGTGTGGTGAAGAGGCGGCTCGCAGGTCGCTCCTCAGCCCAGAAGACACTGGTTGGGTCTCCTGTCTTTAAGACTGGAACAAAGTGTCAATAAGTGTATGCATTGTTCCTTAATTTGTCATCCCTGACTTCTAAAACAAAGGCACATATTTGTAGCCTTGTGACATGTTTGAGGCAGAATTAAGTAGATTAGCTTGTTGGTTTTTTGTTTTTAAATCAACTTTCTTTAAACTCTTGATTACCTCTGCTTTTAGAAAGAAACAGTACTGTGGGAAAGTCCAACTCAGTGCCTTTTGGTGCTGGGTGTAGCATGGTGCTTATCAGTGACGTCAGAGCTATCTTTGGCTCAGCATGAAGCTTTCTTTTGCAGTGAGGGGCTCTCAGCTGGAGGCTCACTTATTTCCTGCCTTCAGACTTGCATTTTCTACCTCTTCTTGACAGGCTATAGGTTATGTGAGGACAGTAACTGTCCGTGAGCATCCATGCTTTATAGAGCAGATCCTCAAGTAGGTTTACTAGATACACCTTACTGGATCACTTCACTAAGATCTTGGGCCGAAGGGACCTTTACTACCATCTTACTCCCCCACATCATTGCAGATCAGCTTCTGTTGAATCAATGTGCCTTTTCCAGTTTGCTTTTCCCAGTTTTTAGGTCTGTATTTCATATTTGAGCTGTTGCTCCCTGAAATCCAGAACCATGTTGTCTTTGTTACCTGTTCATCCATATTTAGTTTTTGTCATGCTTAACATGTCAACAGGATATAAGCTTCTTTTTACCAGAGAGGTGCTACTAAGACACACGCAGGTGAAGAATTTCAGATTTAAAAAGGGAAAAAAAACAAAACTGAAGATGTGACTCCTGAGCAATTGTGGAATTAGTTTTTCCTTTTCTTCTTAACATGTCAACAGGATATAAGCTTCTTTTTACCAGAGAGGTGCTACTAAGACACACGCAGGTGAAGAATTTCAGATTTAAAAAGGGAAAAAAAAACAAAACTGAAGATGTGACTCCTGAGCAATTGTGGAATTAGTTTTTCCTTTTCTTTGTTCATTTTTCTACAGTTGTTACATGCTGTGATTTAACCACCCTTTCATTCATTTAGCAGATAATTAGTAAGCACTAACTTTGTTCTGTGTTCTGGGGACATATATTTAAATCTCCCTGAGCTTGGGGAGATTTTGAAATGTTGGACTTCAAAAGATTTCACTATATACAACAAATTTGATGAATTGACCTGTCACCAAAACTTTACTGGTCAGTCAGCATTTATTAAGGATGATTTTTAGTGATTAAAATCAATTACAGTCACATTCATGGGTCCACTTAAGCAATAATGGCTGAATTGGATTAATAGAGGTGGAATTTTTTTTTTTTTTGCAGTTGGTGGGTACGGGGATTACAAACCTTTGACCTTGGTGTTATCAACACCATGCTCTAACCAACTGAGCTAACCAGCAGCCATAACTTACAGTGTTTCCTAAAATTCATTTTCTCCTACAGACCTGTCCATTCTGGCCATTGCTATTCTACAGTTGTTTCTTTGAGAATTTGTAAAGGAGTAGGCTTTTTTAGCATTCTTAATGATGTATTTAACCTAGAAGATGCTTGTTTTTCATATCTACATGCACAGCATAAGAGGGTAGGTGGGAGAGAGCACAGTTTTAGAGCATTGTCATTTGTTGGAAAGCACAATGGGCCAAATGCAGAAAGTTCTCTTGCTTTACTAGCCAAGATCAGAGCTGGCCCCTGCTTGATCTTCTTCCTCTTGAGACTCTTCCAGGGAGCCGTGCTGTATCTTCTCTGATGTGCTTTGGCAAATTGTCTTCTGTTCAGTTCCAAAAGAACAGTCATATTAGTGTTTCCAGACACCCCACCATACATGTGGAGACCTTGGCAAACCCTAGGGGGAGAGAAGCCAACCGTGATGGAGAAATCTGTTCTCTGTTAGATGCCTGTTCTCTGCCTTGAGATGATTAGCTCTGTTCCTTTCTGTGACTCATATGAATGGGGATATGACAGCTATGAAGGTCTTTACCAGTCAGGCTAAGGAGTCTGCATATTACCTTTAAGACAGACAGAGCTTTCTAGGAATGTTGAGCAGGAAATGATAGGATGAGGTTTTATTTTAGGAAAATGACTGGTGGTGGTTAGGATGATGGGTTGAAGGGAGAGGTGAGGCCAAAGGCAGGAAAACAGAATAAAAACGTGTTGTAGTATCCAGAAGAGAGCCGATGTGGACCTGAAGTTTGTCATTTGCCATGGGGATGGAGGTTGGATGAGGAGACACTTCAGAGGTAGGATCCAAAGATCTTGGTGCCATTTACAAAGCCGAGGTGACAGGAGTGGCAGGTGGCTGATGACGATAGAGCACATGACCTGTGCCAGACCCTGTGCCGAGCACTTCTGCAGGAATTGTCCTGGATCATTTTCAGAGCTCAGTAAGTCCCTTTAGACAGACGAGGAAATTGAGACTGCAGAGTGAAGAAATTTGCCCATGGTCACAGAGCTAGAAGTAGTGCAGCTGAGATTCAAACACAGCCATCCAATTCCAGGTTCCACTGTGATAACACTTAGGCTGTATTGAAAGGCGGGGGGTAGGGGGATAGTGCCTTTGACCAAGTTTGGGAAGATAATCAGCTCAGTTTTCAGCACCTTATCTTTAAAGTCTTCGTGGGACATCAGGTGGAGCTCTCCAGGACTCAGCTATGGGAGGACATAGAATCAAATAGGGAGAGAGAACAGAAGAATGCCTAAGAAGCGCCACTACTTGGAAGTTAGATGGCAGGAGGAAAGCCAGGGAGAGAGATTGAGAAAGAGTGCTCAGAGGAGAGAAGCCAGGAAGGTTGATGGGAGAGTTTTAAGAGCATAGGTGGTGAGCATTAATTACCTAGGGTGGAAGATGGTACATTCGTCCTTTGGGGCAAGAAGAATGAAAGGAAAAAAGATAAGAAAAAAAAAAGATAAGTAAGGAAATAGAATGGAGAATAAATAGGGAAGTTCATGTTTTGAAGTAGCTAAGGTGATCTGCCAGGAGTCACAGGATTGAGATTAGAAAGGGGACTGAGCAGAAGAGTGTTGGTCTGCTGCGGGTGGTGCACAGAGAAACTGAAGAGTAACGGAAGGATTGCCTAGTAGTGGTCTGGGGCTTTCTCCACTCCTGCCACACTGAAAGCAGATTTCACTTATCTGTTGCTATGTTTGTAAAAAAAAATCTCCAAACTTAGTAGCATAAAGCAATCATTTTATTGTGCTCATGGTTTGATGGGTCAGGAATTTAGACAGGGTACATACAGCAGGGATCTCTGCTCCAAGATGCCTGAGACCTCAGCTGGGAAGACTTGAATAGTTGGGGACTTGAGTCATCTGGAGGGCTTTTCACTGAACTGTCTGGCAGCTGGACTGGGATGACTCAAAGGCTGGGTTCAGGAGGGACTGATGACCTGGGCACCCACACGTTTCAAGAGATGAAGGTGGAAAGAAGCTGTGTGGCCTTTTCTGACCTTGCCTCGGAAGTCACATGACATCATTTGCACCTTACTGTATTGGTTGGAGTCCTCACAAGCCCCTGCTGAGATTCAAGGGGAGGAAACAGACCTCCACCTCTTTATGGGAAGGTCAGGGTCACACTGCAGAAGAGTGTGTGGAATGGAAGATACTGTTGTGATCATCTTTGAAAAATACAATCCATCCCAGAGCAGAAGTGGAAGGAGTATTGGGGCATCCTTTAGGATTGAGAAATGGCTGTTGGGTGCAGCAGTGGGTAGAGCTGGGGTGGAGGGACAGTGGCAGCTGTGATTGAATCACAAGCTAAGTAGAGAAGGGTGAGAATCCACAAGAGGGGTCATCACTTGGAGGTGAGGAAGATCAGAGGAGGGGAGGCTAGGATGACGATAAAGAGTAGGGTACAGGTCTGGGGTATAGAGAGGTAGACAGGAACAACCCCAGTGGAGCCCAGTGCTTGCCTTCACCCATTATTATTTGAGGGTCACAAGTTTCGTCTGTAGTTTTATTTAATGTTTTTTTCTTACAAACACTCAGTGGAAATCTGTAGCTATTTTAAATACACAGATGACGTTTGTGTCTCCAACCCACTAATACAAGTGAATTATTTAAGGGGCCAAGTTGAGTGCGTTTAAAAGGGAAGAAGGAGTGTTCATTTCTCACCCAACACTGCCCTAGGTTCATGTGCCACTTAGAGATGGAGAAGTGGCTCAGAGTGTACTTTTTCCAGCTCTACCACTGTGACCTTTAATATGTCTTTGGTTGGCATTCAGATCAGTGTGACTTGATCAGTGTGACTCCAAAGCCTGACCACTTTCTGACACCATACTGCCTCCTAGTTGCTGATTGTCCTAGATGACAAGCCACCAAAATGAACGGGAACTCTGGTGATCAATTTCTGATCCTCTCTTGGAACTGCATTTCAGGTCATTTCTGAAGAGCTGGGCTTAATGCCACACCAGAAGAGGCACAGGCACTCTTCTGGTAGGGGCTCCTTTCTTGTGAGGGGAGCTGAGAGCCTACCAGGTCACAATCTGCAGGTGGCAAGGGGAAGGTTCCTTCATGCACCCTCTGCCGCCCCTGCTTGGATAGAGGAGCCCGTCATTCATTTCAGCTGGCTTCGCTGCCACATGTAAAATCACATGTTCATCTCCCATATTACCCACTCTGATCTCGGGCAAGATCTTTTCCTTACTCCTAAATCCTTGATTGTCTTCTCAAACTCAGACTCATGATTTGTAGAATCTCAGCAGAGACTTTGGAGCTGAGCAGTTCTGTCTCCATCGAGGTTTCCACCACTTAGTGTGATGTGACCTTGGGCGAGTTACCTCACCTCCCTGTGCCACAGCTTCCTCAGCCGTAAAATGTGGTAATAACATGTACAGTGAAGATTGTGCAGTAGCAGGTGTCCCTGCCCCTGCATCCGATTCAGTGTTCGCAGAGATACTCTTGCCTCCTTCACTGAGAGCGAGGTCCTTTAGATTCTTGTCCCCCAGCTCACCTTCTTACATCCCTAAATTACCTCTTTATAAACCAGCCCTCTCATTCTGTCCTCTAGACTCAGACTTTCCCCGTAAAATGTGGTAATAACATGTACAGTGAAGATTGTGCAGTAGCAGGTGTCCCTGCCCCTGCATCCGATTCAGTGTTCACAGAGATACTCTTGCCTCCTTCACTGAGAGCGAGGTCCTTTAGATTCTTGTCCCCCAGCTCACCTTCTTGCATCCCTAAATTACCTCTTTATAAACCAGCCCTCTCATTCTGTCCTCTAGACTCAGACTTTCTAGGGTTTACCCTCAGGCCTGGAAAATTCCCCTTACATATGATAAAATTGTCTTAAATATGGTAGAACAGAATTCAGAATATGTTGTCACCCATTCTGTGTGCCATATATGCCACATGACTTTTTTGTGAATATGTGTAGGGTATTGAGGGGACATTACCTTATTTAAGAGTAAGTTTGAATGATAGTTTACAGCTGCCGTATATATGAGTAAGCTTTAGAGAAGTATATTTAAGTTCTCTGAATAATGTCAGTAATTTATGTACTTGATAGATTCTGAGAGTAAGGAGGACTCAGAGGCTACATACTCATCCTAAGAATGTCCTCAGAGGCACACTTGGCTGTTGGTTACTGAGTCTGCTTGAACCTTCCCAAGATGCCACCTCGTACGACAGTGCATTCTACAACAGCTGTCATCATTAGAGCATTTTTCCATGGGATGCAGCAAAATGTTTCTTCCTGCAACTTCTCCCTTTCGAGTGGAGAAGAGTGAGACTCATCTGCCTTTCACGTGGCAGAATGACAGCTGGCTAAAGAGGTCTTCCAGAACCACTTCCTCCCCTACAATCTTTTGTTCTGGTTAAAATTAAAATAAAAGTGCCCTAAACTATCTATCAGGAATGGTGCCAGTGTGTCTAGACCCCACCCAGGCTCATTGCCCTGGAAGAAGAGAGCCTGTTCTTGCAGGATTCCACAGATAGGAAGCACTCTGCCACCTTGGGGCTTTTAGTCACATCACCAGCCCACCAAGACCCGCTGTTAAGGGTCTAATTCATGTTGGCACATATATTTATTAGTTATTAAGAGATTTATTTAATGTTACTGGTAGCCTAGCCACTTTGTAGGACACCAGCTGTCACGCCTTTCTCCCCCAGAGCTGTGTATGGTGGTGTGACTAATTGCAGGCAGCAGGTCTTGAATTGGGGGGCTGGCACCAGTACAAGGCTCCAGAGAAGATGGGAGTTGAGGCTGTATTAGTAGGAAAGGAAGGGGATCAAAGCCTTCTCCCCCAGAGCTGTGTATGGTGGTGTGACTAATTGCAGGCAGCAGGTCTTGAATTGGGGGGCTGGCACCAGCACAAGGCTCCAGAGAAGATGGGAGTTGAGGCTGTATTAGTAGGAAAGGAAGGGGATCAAAGCAAAGCCCATTTCTGGCTTTTTGGTCTTTTAATCTTTGTGTTCATGTGTGTTCTTTTTTAAAAATAGCTTAGAAAATTTTTCATATTTTTATGTAAGCTTTTAGAACATTGGGCAAGATCCCAATTCTTTTTCATGACACTGAACTAATAGAACTAAGGCTTGCTGAAGGTATGAGTTCTGTTCTGTTTTGTTTATTTTATTCTATTCTATTCTTAGACCCCTGACCTGGAGCAGCTAGAACCATCATTGGAAGAAGTAGAAACCATGAATGATTTTGAACCCTTGTTTTCAGAGGAGACACCTGAGGTGGAGAAGCCTGTCACCACTGTCCAGGTTTGACTCCTGCAGCATAGACTATGCTTATGCTTTGAAGCTGTTGGCATAAATGACAGTTTGTTTCTATAGGAATATATTTTTTAAAATCTCAGTTGTGTTTTCTAGAAAAGGAGGTACCAATACTTAAAATATAGAAAGTCAGGGTTTTTTTTCCTCCAGTGATTGGTTCCAGTACCAAGATCTGTGAATCTATGAGAAATAGTCTACCTGAGGGCCGGCCCATAGCTCACTTGGGAGAGTGTGGTACTGATAACACCAAGTCAAGGGTTAAGATCCCCTCACCGGTCATCTTTTATTAAAAAAAAAAAGAAAAGAAAAGAAAGAAATAGTCTACCTGGTAAAAACATTTGGGCAAATAATCACCGGTCATCTTTTATTAAAAAAAAAAGAAAAGAAAAGAAAGAAATAGTCTACCTGGTAAAAACATTTGGGCAAATAATTAGGGACTTTAGACCTGAAGACTGGCTTTTAATGATCTCATTTAAATTTAAGCTAATGTCATTATACTTAATCCTCGTTGGGGTCTACGTTTCTGTCATTACAATGGCAACCAGATAAACTGACCTGAGTCAGACCCACTGGGGAGAGAGCTGTCTTGCTGTGCAGGGACCAGGGGTGCTACACACAGTACCGGGCAGGGGACTTGGTCTTCCATGCTGGGCCTTTTCACTGCTACTGTCCACAAAGTCTCTCTCTGCAATTCAGGGACCATTTCATGATGCAAATGTGTAGGTATTTATAATTAAGAGGTTGAGAGAAGTAGAAAATTGAATTATTAAGTCAGGAGAGTTGGGGAGAAGCTTTGCTCGCATAAACAAAGGACAAAAACTATACTGGAAAAAGAAATGTGATTTGAGGAAACTGGCAACTGGAATGTTTGTCATTATGACCTAAAAATGTCTTTTAAACCTTGGGTTTTTAAAGCCCGTGTTTAACTTGGCAGCATATCATCAGCTGTTTGTTGGAACAGAGAGAATTCGAGCTCCAGAAATCATTTTCCAGCCGTCTCTCATAGGAGAAGAGCAGGCTGGGGTAGCGGAGACTCTTCAGTACATTCTGGACAGGTAAGATGGAGAAATTTCTCTTCCTTATATTTTCCTGAAACATTTCCTTGGATTTTGCATTGAATGATAGATTTGATGGTTGGGCACTTTGGAAATCTGTCTCACTCTCTTGTTTTCATTGACATGCTGTGCTCAGATAGTATTATTTTATCTCTGTCACCCAGCCTGGCGCCTAGTTGAGGCTCTATAATTGTTTTCTGAACATGTAAATGCTCAGTTGATTTGAGGAGCTGGAAGAGTTTCTTTTTAATTTTGAGCAACACAATAACATATGCACTGACTTCCATGTAAAGCCTTCACAGTATTAACAGTTAGTGATTTTAAATCACCCTAAAAATACTGCAGAGCTTATAAAAGTTCCCTCCTTGCTGGCATTTTATTTATTGAAGAGTTTACATTTCTGTAAGACTGCATCTCCCTTCTCCCATTTCTACTGGCATTTTCCTGCAGTGTGAGTTTTCATAATTGAAGTTGGACAAATAGGGAACATAATTTGTAGTACTCTGGCTGTTGTTGATTATAACAAAATGGAAACTTGCACCTGGCAAGGAAAAAAGCTTTTGCAGCTACTTTGTTTGAGTGGCTTTGAGCTTAGCCTTAACAGTGGGTGGGAAAGTGATCAAACATGTAAAAGATTAAGCTATTATTTAAAACAAAACAAAAAAACACAGGTGGGGAGATGGGTGCTCAAAACGGAGGCAGGACTTTTAGGGATGGCAGATATGTTCTGTGTCTTAATATGGGTATATAGATTTGTCAGCCTTTATCAAAATGTATGTAAATTAATTTTCAATAAAGATTTTTTTAAAACATGTATTAGAAAAGTACAGAAAGTCTAATCACATTAAGGAAATGAGTTGACCATTCGAATTTAGATTTTGACTGGATACTAGGAAACATTGGACTGGCATTCTGTAGAGATACAAATGAAAAAAATTTTTTTTTTTAACTTTTTCTGTAGATATTTTCTTTTTTGTACTGGGAGCTTACATTTCCACATTTACATTCTCTGTGATATTCAAGTTGGATATCATTTCTCCCCTAGGTACCCAAAAGACATTCAGGAGCTGCTAGTTCAGAACGTTTTCCTCACTGGGGGAAACATGATGTATCCTGGGATGAAAGCCAGAATTGAGAAGGAACTGTTGGAGATGAGACCCTTTCAGTCTTCTTTTCAGGTACCGATTGTTCACGTGACCAACTGTTTTGAAAATAGCATTATTTGTGTTCTGATTGCAAAAGTAATAAAATGCAAATGAGAAAAATAAGTTCATAATTGCATTATTCAGAGATACCCACTGTTAACATTTTTGTGGCTTTCCTTCTGGTCATCGGTCTGTTTAATTTTTAAAGCAGAGTGGGAATCATGTTTTATATACTACTTTGTTTTTTCTTTAATTGAAAAAGGAAGACATGCATATAATAAAATGGAAAGAGTATATAGGAGTGTATATGAATAATAAGTCATTCTCCCTACTCAGTTCCCCATCCTACAGGCAAAGCTTGCCTTTTATAAATTTTCTACACATGTGAATGTGTACTGCTTTGTAACCTGAATTTTCTTAACCTGTCATGAACATTTTCCCATGCCATTATTCTTCCAAAATACCATTTTTTATGACTGTGTGGTATGGATGCCCCACATTTTATCTACCAAGAAATGTGGTCCAAGCTCCCATTGTGGTCCAGGCACAGTGGGGCTGCTGAGATGTCCTGGACATATTCCCTAGCTGAAAGGAATTCACTTTCTGAGGGGTCAGCAGCTAAGTAAATGCGCCACGATAGCCCAGAGCATGAAGGACGTACTGGCATGGGTGCTGGCAGTTTCCATTGGCGTTGAGGGGAGGCTCCATGGAACTGAATCTTCTGAGGATGGGTAGGCGTTTGCCATGCAGATAGTGTGGAGTGGGGTAGGTTGGAGAGAGCCTTCCATACAGAGGACTAGCATGAGCAAAGGCTCAGGAGCCAAACACTTGTTGAGGGAGGGAGAAGCATCTGAGAGTGGCTGGAGAGTGGCTGCTAAGGAGCGGAGGTGGGTGGGGTGGAGAGGTCAGCAGGGCCCTCATGATGCAGAGCTTAAGAAGGTTGGCCTTGATCTGCTATGCCGCACGATGTATTATATGTTCAGGGCGTGGTCTCTGGCTTTTGGTCCTGACACTGTCGCTACCATTACTGAATTTTGCTAAGCCTCTGTTTTCTCAGGGGTAAGAAGGGGTAATCACAGCACCTATTACCAGGATTCAGCATAGGAGTGCACGTCAAATGCTCAGCTTGAGACCTGCCCGTAATAAACTCTCAGACATTAGCTGTTGTGTTGGGGGAGTCCCTGAGACCACGCCAGGTGCAGTGATTCACCAGGAGGACTCACGGAGTCAGCATAATCATACTTACCATAATCACCTTTCCAGCCTGGAACTTGTGTGGTTGGTGGAGAGGGGACAGTGACAAGGGTGGGAAGTGAGGCAGATGACTCCAGAAAACAGGAGGCCCAATTTGAGTTACAGAGTATTGCTCCAAATGGTCAAGTCAGCCCAGTTGAGGGGTCTTCCCAGAGCTGCTGACCCCCCAGCCTGGCTCCGACAGTAGGCAATGGAAACTAAGCACTGGCAGCATCACAAAGAATGCCCCAGTCACCCCTCTCTGCACTCATTCCTCCTGAGGCTCTTCTGCCACCATGGTCAGGGCGATCTTGCTTCAGCCTCTGCCTCCCTGTGCTCGCAGAGGGGGGACCAGGGCCAGGAAGCCCTTTCCTGCAGGTTGAATGGCAGTCTCTGCCTCCCTCTGCCCTTGACAGGATTGTGAAGCAGAGGCTGGGCACCTGCTTCCTCTCTGACCCTGCGTGGCAGGTCTTGTGTTCGTAAAACAACTTATAACTGTGCTGTGAGGTCAGGTCTGCTTCGTGTTCTTGTGTGTTCTCTAGGAGAGTGGGCATTTTGGCTCAGCTTTGTTTGGAGGGTGTAGGGATAGCCCTGCACTGTCTGGGAATTAATTGGGGCCCTCAGTATATATTTCTGAGGATATAATGTAAGGGGGCTGCAGCTGAGCCTGGAGTTTTGGTGGGAGATATCCTGATAGTGAACACTCTCTTCGTGTTTCAGGTCCAACTTGCCTCAAACCCTGTGCTGGATGCCTGGTACGGTGCTCGTGACTGGGCCTTGGACCACCTAGATGACAACAAAGCCTGGATCACTAGGAAGGAATATGAAGAAAAGGGAGGAGAGTACCTCAAGGAGCACTGTGCTTCCAACATCTACGTTCCCATCCGCCTGCCAAAGCAGGCCTCACGTGCCTCAGAAGCCCAGGTTTCTGGCAAAGGCTCAGGGGCCAGTGGAAGCAGTGCCGGTGAGCAGGCCTAGCAGAGGGGCATGCCCGAGAGACTCCCCTGCAGTGTCCGAGGGCCACATCAGCAGTGTGACAGGACAGCGATGTGCTAGGTGTATCCAGCCTGAGTCCACTGGTCACATTTGGCTACAAAATGGATTTCTCCTGGGGGGAACAGAGTTATTAAACAACACTGGGAGTTAGCCTTCAGTGTTATGTCTATACGGGGGCTTCTGCAGTGAAGGAACATAGTGTGGCTCCTGGCGTCTTTGTTGATGAACTGTGGCATCAGCTTCCTACAGCAGCCCGCAGAGACAGGGTGGCAGACGTGTACAAGATATGTAAGACATATTTCTTTTTTTTTTTTTTTTTAAACCTATATAGGGATCCGAACCTGTGGCCTTGTTATCAGCACCACACTCTCCCAAGTGAGCCATGGGCTGGCCCTGTAAGACGTATTTCTTACTGCAGTTTAAAGTCTTTTTTGTTTAAAAAAATCCTTTAAAATTTATCTTGTCAGTGTCAACATTTTATTCTTCTAAATTTATTCAGAAATTGTGTGAATGCCCAGCAGAGGGAGGTCTTTCATGTGTATAAAAAAGTAACTTTTATGTTATAAAAGCAGTCATCCACGAAATCTCAGGAGCTAGGAATATTTCCCTCTTTCTGTTATATCCCCTTACAAATAAGAAAGGCCCTAAGAGGGTCACCAACTTGCACAGTGACTCGGCTAGTTAAGGACCTGTGTGGTGCCCTTTTCTGAATGGGCAGAAATGCACTAGTGGCCCAACTCTTGGTCATACTTTCTTTGTTGGAACTTTCCCACCATATGAGGCCTTCCTACAAATTTTTTGTCTGTCCCTGTGAGTTTGTTGGCTCCTTAACTTTTTCAGGCTTTTCTGAAGAAGGAGACTGGAGAAGGTTAGTCCTGCAGCCTTTTCAGTTTTGCTGTAACCTCTCTCTCCCTGCACCTTCACAGCATCATCTCAAATGGACAACAAACCTTTCTCTTTTACAGAGATGGCTTGGTGGGAATTTTAACTCTCAAACACACCCAAGAATTGAGCCCAGAAGGCGCCCCCTGTGCTGCTAATATTGTCACAGAATCTGTGCATTTAAATCCTCTGGAGCCTCTAGCCTGCCTCCCTGATGAGGCCACTTCAGAACCTGCTTGCTCATAGAATTTATCAAGGGTATTGGCCTGGATCTGCGGTTCTCAAGGGCTTAGAAGTTGCAGACCCAGAGGGCAGTGCTGGTAGAGAAGGTAGAAGACCCAAGCTAACTCAGAATCTCCTAAGACATCGCCCACTGAGCCATTGGCTCTCTGGGCCCAAGACTGATGAGATGGTGAGAAGCATGGACTATTCAGAAAGGACAGATGTGAGGAAAAAAGGCAGGACCAGTCTCCATATGAGATGTTTTCATAGCATGTTTCCAGGAAGAGGGACTGTGCTAACTGCTGTCAGGCCTGGAGTCTTTCTCCCACAGTCCACAGTTTAAACAGCCAGAATGGCAGTGGTGAAGTCAAAGTCCTGATGAGGAGGGGCCTTGGGTTGAGCAGGTGAGCTGGGGCACATCAGAGCCATGCAGGCAGTAAGCTGGGCCTGCTCAGGTTGTGGGTTGTAACCTGGGACACAGGAGGAACCTCAAGGGCTGTGGTGAGGGACAGGCCCAGGGACTGAGCCTTGAACTAGCTCTTGCGTTGCATCTCCAAGCTGTTACAGACATTGCATTAAGCATGCCATGACTTCGTGACCACCTTTGCATGTGCTGTTCTCCTGAGGGAATTCTGATCCTTCCCAGCACACTAGGCAAAGCTTGCTACCTGTGGTTCCCCAACCCCCTCACACAAACCACCAGCAGAGCACTCACCACAGTACTTTGGGCTTTATCCAAGCCCCAGATGGCCTCTTCTACACTTTGATATGTTCCCCAGGAGCAGAGGGTGTGTTTCATTCAGCCTGGAGCATCCAGAGCCCAGGGCGACACCTGGAGGGTGCTGAGGGCCCACCGAGAGAGAGGCCCTGGTGAGGCCTTGATTTCAGACCCTGACCTCCAGAACGATGAGAGAGTAAGTTTCTGTTGTTTTAAGCACCATGTTTGTGGTGATTTGTTTCAGCAGACCTAGAAAATGAATATAGATGGCCAGGTTGAGTCTGAAAGTGAATATAGGTGGGAGTCCAGCTGGGAAGTTGTTAAGCCATAGAGGAGGCAGTAACTTGTCGATAAGATGGGGGAGACAATAGCAGAACCTGGATAACATCAGCATAGATTTACCCCAGGTGAGGTGGCACCAGCAATGAAGAAGCAGAAGGGAAGGGGTTGGGAAGTGCTCAGGACCACAGCTGGTGGTCTTGGAAAGACCCCCACTTCTGGGGTGACAGAGGTATCGTGGGTGGCAGAGGTGGTATAAAAGGGAAGCTAGGACGGGGCTGGTCAAAGACTTAGTAAAGCAAGAGAGGATCAGAGAAGGCCTGACCACAGAAATGCCAGGTATTAAAGAATCTGGCTTTCACTGTAGCCACACAAGGGGAGCCCTGGAGAAATGTGGAAAGTCACCCAAGCCCGCTGCCTGCTCCTCCTTACCCATAATACCTCCTGCTAACAGTTGTTTGGATAAATCTAACATGCTCAGATATAAACATTAATAAAACTGCAGCATCCTTATGGGTTTTGTGGGGAAAAAAGACCAAAACCAGTAAATACAAATTAAAACTTTTTGGCAAATAGAACATACCTGCCCCGCCCCAAAGGCTACTGCAAAGCAGAAGAAAACTGTAATGTAACATTCCAACATGAATTACAAATAGACGAGCAAATGCAGATGTGAGGACACCGCAAAACATGAAAAATGACCAGACAACAGATGTGCAGTTTGGACTGAGACTCAGGAAGGAATGAAGAAAAGGAACAGTGACCTCAGCAACCTGAATTCAAGTACAACGTTGGTGGTCAGTTAATAACAGTGTATTGTATTCTTGAAAATTGCCGAGAGAGTAGATTTTAAGTGTTCTTACCAATATGAGTATGTGAAGTAATGTGTGTGTTAATTAGTTTGACTTAGCCATGTCACAATGTATACATATTTCAAAACATGTTATACGTGATAAATATATGTAACTTTTATTTGTCAATTAAATAAAGGGAAAAGAGAAAAACCCTGAAGTCAAGATGCACAAAGGAGAAGGAATTTAATTGAAAAGAAATTAAAAATAAAAGAAAAAGTAATAGAGAAAAGAGGCAAAGGAAATAAAATTGAATATAGAAGAAAATTCAGCTATATTGAATTTTATTGTAAAAACCACATGACATAAAACTTACCATCTTAACCAGTTTTAAGTTTCTGGAACAGTAGTGTTAACTACATGCACATTGTTGATCAACTGCTCTCCAAAAGTTTTTCATCTTGCAAAACTGAAACTACCCATTGAACAACTACTCCCCTTTTCCCTCTTCCCCTCAGCCCCTGACAACCACCAGTCTACTTTCTAAGAGTTTGATTACTCTAGATTACCCCATGCAAGTAGAATCATGCAGCATTTGTCCTTCTGTGACTGGCTTATTTCATTTAGCATAATGTCCTCAAGGTTCATTCATGTTATAGCATATGTCAAAATTTCCTTCCTTTTTTTTTTTGGTCTTTTTTCGTGTCCGGCAATGGATCGCAACCCTCAGTGTCGCGCCCGTACCGGACCGGGACCAGCAACGGGATCGCAACCCTCGGTGTTGCGCCCGCACCTCGCTCAGCCAGTGAGTGGGAACCGGTCTGTATGTGGGATCCGAACCCTCAGCGGGAGCGCCTCCACGCTCCCAAGCAGCGCACTGTAGCAGTGCGCCACCGGGCCAGCCCAAAATTTCCTTCCTTTTAAAAACAATGACTTGGGCCGGCCCCGTGGCTTACTTGGGAGAGCGCGGTAGCGCTGAGGCCACGGGTTCGGATCCTATATGGGGATGGCCGGTGTGCTCACTGGCTGAGCGTGGTGCAGACCACCCCGTGCTGAGGGGTGTGATCCCCTTACCGGTCAAAAAAACCAAACTTTCCATTGTATGTATATACCACATTTCCTTTTTTTATTTTAATTTTTAACCACTTTTATTGAGGTGTAATTGATTGATATACAAAAAACTGTACATATTTAACATACACAGTTTGATGAGTTTGGACATGTGCATATACCTGTGAAACTATCACCACGATCAAGGTAATAAACATATCCATCACCCCCAAAAGTTTCCTTATGCCCCTTTGTGGTTTTTGTTTTTTTGTGGTAGGAACATTTAACATGAGATCTACCTTAGATTTTTAAGCGTGAGATATGGTATTGTTAATTATAGGTTCGTTGTACATCAGATCTGTAGAACTTAATTCATCTCACATAACTGAAACTTTTAAACTAAGGAAAAGAAAAAAATGAACCTTTTATATCCATGGATATTTAAATATACATATTTATATCCATTCCCTTTTTCACCCTTCCCCCAGCTCCTGGCAGCCAACATTCTACCCTCTGCCTCTGAGTTTGACTAGATACCTCGTATAAGTGAAATCATATGGTATTTGTCCTTTTGTGACCAGTTTATTTTTCTTAGCATAATGTCCTCCAGATTCATCCGTCTTGTCACATATGACAGGATTTCTTTTTTAAAGGCTGGATAATATTTCATTGTATGTGTATATCACATTTTCTTATCCATTCATCCATTGGTGGACATTTATGTTGTTGTGAAGGCATAACATATGAGATGTGGATCTTGGCTATTACGAATAATGCTGCAATGAACTTGGGAGTGCAGACATCTCTTTGAGATCCTGACTTCAATTCTTTTACCCAGAAGTGGGATTACTGGATCATATGATAGTTCTGTTTTTGATTTTTTGAGGAACTTCCATATTGTTTTCCATAATGACTGTACAAATTTACATTTCCACCAACAGAGTACCAGGTTCTCCTTTTCTCCACATCTTTGCCAGCACATGTTATTTTCTGTTTTGTTTTTGATAGCAATCCTAATGGATATGAGGTGATATTTTATGGTGGTTTTGATTTGCATTTCCCTTATGATTAATGATCTGATGTTCAACATCTTTTCATGTGCTTGTTGGCCATTTATGTATCTTCTTTGGAGAAATGACTATTCAAGTCCTCTGCCCATTTTTTAATCAGGTTATTTGTGCTTTTTTTGTTGTTGAGTTGTATGAGTTCTTTATATATTCTGGATATTAACCCCTTATCAGATATATGGTTTGCAAATATTTTCTCCCATTCCATAGTTTGCCTTTTCATTGTTATTTTCTTTGCTGTGCAGAACTTTTTAAGTTAGATGTAGTTCCATCAAACTTAAAAACCTCTTAAGTTTTGTCTTTTTGTTATTGTCTATTTTTGCTTTTGTTGCCTGTGCTTTTGGTGTCATAGCCAAGATATTGCCAGATCCAATGTCATGAAGACTTTTCCCTATGTTTTCTTCTAGAAGTTATATAGTTTCAGGTCATACATTTAGGTCTTTATCAAC